ATATTGGCGTTATTTGTCGGCTAGTTTTATTTTAAGCAGTTGAGTGGGTGACTATTTAGATTAATTCTCATTATTCTTCTAATTTGGACTTTATGTAAATTATTTTCCAGTTCAATAGTACTTTTTATTAATATACTTATCGGTTTGTTTTGGAAAATGCAGTCTTAGATCTTCATCAAGTGGAATGCACTAAGAAGTAAGAAGCATGTGGGCATTTCTTTAGCACACATAAAGCTTGTATTGTGGTTCAATGTGTATGTTATGATCAAATGATTTATATATAATAATCATCTTATCTTTATATAACTCCAAGTCTACAACGCAATCAAAGCAACATAAATATGTCTTACCACCAACGAGTGCGGAATAGATACAATCTTCTCATCCTTAAACCAGATATCTCGGGTTCGAGCTCTGGAATGATAACTCAAATAAAATATATTTCATTCTCTATTGGAACCAACACTTTGATGATATGAAGATAATTTAGTGGGCGTTTGGACATAAGAATTGTAAAATTCCAAAAAAAAAAAATTAAGTGAAAATAGTATTTGGAAATTAGAGTTATGTTTGGACATGAATATAATTTTGGATTGTTTTTGAATTTTTGTGAATGATCTGAGTGAAAATTTTGAAAAATAATTTTTTGAAGTTTTTCAAATTTTCGAAAAATTCCAAAATTTATCTTCAAGTGATTTATGGCCAAACACTAATTTCGAAAAAATGAAAAAATTTCGAAAAAATAGTGAAAAAATACTTATGTCCAAACGGGCTCTTGGTGCTTAGAACCAATTAAAGACTTCAATTTCGATGGACGGCAAGTTAATGGATGTCAAGTCCAATTCTATAGCTAATGATTTGTTATGAAAATTCAACAAAATGATAATTATATTAATATCCCATTGCCAAATCCCTTTATTATATGTCTTCCAATAATCCACTACTTGCAGTATTCCACAATCTTTAGTGTTTTTAATAAACAAAAATAGCAAGTTGAGATTGAAGAATTGCCAAGTTGTAAAAACAAGTCTGAAAAGGAAACAAGACTACATTATACAATCTATTACTGAAACAAAGAAATAATTATTCACATTATATAATATGTGTGTGCATTAATCTTTTTCCACACACACACACACACATAATCGAACAAAATTGAATTAGAGAATTGGGATTGTTACATAAATATCCAATCAGATTTACTATTTTTTTTAGCCGGTATATATAGATTATACATTGATTATATAAATTATATACATATTGTACATGAATTGCATATATTATATATCTGACGGCTATTTTAGTTTAAGAAATTAGGTGAACGGCTATTTGGGTTGATTCTTCTTGAGAATTCACCTTAGATCCACCTAAGAGTGGTAATTTGAGCTCAATCCCATTTGACCCTCACAATCCGCCCAAGGTTGGGCTGGTCATTGTCTGCCCATTTGTTTAACTCAGCACATCTTGATCTAGCACATCTTAACTCATCTAAAGTTGGACTAATTTTAGCTTAAATTGATCCATAAGTAACTTTGCTAAAATATCTTTAAAATAATTCTTTTTTTGTTTGACATATTATATATGACCATAACAAAGAAAAAACTCTTATTTGATAATTAAACAACTCACAAAAAAATGACACACATTAATTAAAGCTTGATAAGAGTTGGACGTATTGTGCTACAACCCAAATTTTTAGCCATCTTGACCCAACCTATCTCAGCCAAAGTAACATTGGGCGAGTTATTGACCCGCCTATTTATTGATTCGGCCCATTTTGACCCGCACAAAATCAGCCCAATTAACCCGCTCATCTATTGACTCAGCCTATATTGACTCGCCCAAAATCAGTCCAACCCGCCCATTTGACACTCCTGAATCCATCTCCATGTCCCCCATGCTCCACCAACCCAAAGAAAAGGGTAATCATGATCTGTAGAAATATTGAACAACACTCCAATATTAACAGTAGAGTCCATACATTTATATAATTAGCCCAAAAAAATAATTCACTTGAACACCATCAATCCAAAACCAACAAACCAAAAAAAAAAAAATCCATTACTTAGAATATTATCAACATATGGGGATGAAAGAAGCAATGATATGGTCACTAATGGTTCTAGGAATATTAGGATTTGTGACTATGCAAAATACTAATATTCCTATGAAATCATTGATTTGTTATCAAGCCCAAGATTTATTATCACCATGTCAACCATTTTTATTGGGTTGTAGAAAAAATATTACAGAAGAATGTTGTCAAGGTTCTCAAACTTTGGCTAGTCTTGTAAAAAATAGTACAATTGATGATATTAAAGATTTATGTAAGTGTCTTCAAAAAACTGGGAATTCTTCTATTATTGATGTTAAAAAGGGAAGAAAACTTTTCAAGGTTTGTAAGATCAAGAGAGTTCCTATTGGTCCACAAGTGGATTGTGACAGGTAAATTTTTATTTTCCATTATTTTCTATTTTATGCTGATCCTCTTCATTTTTTCATTAATTTAGTTGAGTAACGTTTTGGTTTCAACGATGAAAACAAAAAGAATTAAGTTTTAATGTTAATTATTAGGGTCACTTGAGTCTATTATTTTTTTTTTATAACCATTTGGTATCTAGAACCTACTGATCCGAGTAATTTGAATTTATGATACATAAGACCCATCAACGGGGAAATACACTGTATAGCCACTCTCAAAATAATCGCCATAAAAATATATAATTTTTTTAAATATATTTTGTATGTTATATACAAAAATTATACAAATTTTATGCACTTTTCGGCTACTGAATGTAAATAGTTTCTGGCGTGGGCTAAAAATGATAATACCCCAGTAACAGGCCGGGGAAAACGCTCCTCCACCAAAAAAAAATTCATTTCTAAAGCGCAAACCTGAAACTTTTGTTTAAGGACGGAGGGATTATATTCATCTCACTATAAGTCTTGGTAGTAGACTTGAGTCGTCACATATATAACCAATCAACTAGCTAAAGAATCAAGAAAATTCATGTTAATTATCAAGTTTTCTATCCATATTTACTTTTCAAGTATCCGTATATAATTATCAAGGTTCAGTTCATTAATTCGATACTAAAATAATTGCAGAAGTTGTCTTTCTGATGAATAAGAATAACAACAACAATAACAATAACAAAACGGTAAGCCACTAAGCCTAACTAATTAAACGATACTATCACATATATGGATTCATTGTTTTCTTTTAGCTAAGTTTGCATCCATTCTAAGGAAATTGCTGGTATTATGACACAATTTTCTTCTATGCGATTTAATTATCATGTTTTATGATTAGCAATTATAATTGAAAGCCAAGAGGTTTCTCTACTTTCCTCTGTTCCAACTAAGAGTTTTTTCAACTCAATTGCAATTTAGCCTCCGGGTTAAGTCTCTAATTATAGCCTGAAACTATTACGGGCTAGCCTGTTTTCGCACTGCTAATTGAAAAATAGTCAACGTTTGTAAAGTTATTAAAAAATAGCCATTATTTTGCTGCAACACGGAAAGTTCCAGCATAATATACCGGAGATTTGATGCACATGTGTATGAACTTCCAGCATATTATGCTGGAACTCCAACACACGGAAAGTTCCAGCATAATATATTGGAGATTGGAGCACCTGTGTATGGACTTCCAGCATATTATGCTGGAAGTGCAGTATATTATGGTGGAAGTCCAGTATATTATGCTGGAAGTCCACTATATTATGTTGGAACTCCAGTATATTATGCTGGAAGTCCAGTATATTATGGTGGAAGTCTAGTATATTATGCTGGAAGTCCAAGTATATTATGCTTGAAGTCTAGTATAATATGCTGGAACTCCTGTATATTATCCTAGAACTCTAGTATATTATGCTGGAACTCTAGTATATTATGCTAGAATATTTTTCGAATTTTGAACAGTGTTCGTTCAGATTTATCTTTACATAAAAAGTGACTGAATTTCAATTACTTTTAAATTTGTGGCTATTTTACAATTACCACTTGTAAACTGGCTATTTTTTAATTTCACCCCTAATTAGCTTCTTGTAATTCTGTTGGGTATGCAGTATTTGACAATATGGACTGGCAAAGAAGCTTTCACAGATTGAAATTTGAGAAGAAAGTCAGCCAAGCTAAGAAATTAATACTATTACTTATTGAAATGTATTTCAATTTAATTCCTACTTAAGTGTACTGGTATCTCAATTGACTTAAGTTTGGTCAAGAAGACTCTTGTTATCAGTGCTATAAAATGAAATAAATATTATTAGTATGTCTTAAATTTCCTTTCCATATATTGATCATTATTATTTATTTTAGGTTGATAATACGTCCTTTCACATACGGACCTAAGTCGTCTAAAAAGTTGTAAAGCACGCGCTTTCACTTGCGAGCTTGATTCTTTTTTGGATGAAATATTTGATTAAGTGCTTGTGAGATTCATGTTGGTATTATACTGTGTTCAAAATCAGAAAATTAGAGAAGTAAACAAACGTTAGTTCAATAAACAAAACGTAAAATAATTCCGAGCCTACTGAATGCACAATGTGTCCTTAAGGAATTTAATCCCCTCACTGTTGCCCAAGGTATACGGATTAATTCCTCCAAGGATAGAACGGAATAACTATTCTGTGATAGCGGCACTTCAAATCACAGAACTTCAGCGAACTCAACAAACGGGGCAAATCACACTTGACACTTATGTTTATTTAGAAAATAATGCAACAATGTAGAAAAGAGGGGAGAAGATTTCAGATTTTCCATGTCTAAAAAATGAAGCCAAGCCTCTAAATTTATAGATAAAGGAAGGGTGATA